GGTTTTTTTTTTTTTTTTTTCTGTGATTGAAATTGTAATTTTATGACTGCTACCCAGGTTGCGATTCTTCTCTTTTCTTTGAGAATTGGGTTAGTTTAAGACTTTTAAGTTAATTAACATTTTCTGTTCTTTTTTTTTTTTTTTGGGTGGGGTTTTTTTGAAGTGTTGTTTTCGGTGTATTAACAAAATTGGCGACTTGGGTTTTCTATTTCTTGACACAATTTAGTAAGTTAAAGTGCAAGAATTAGTAAGTGAGTCACATTGTCTTCTTCTTTTCAATTCTTTTAGAAACGGGTTTAGTTTTAGTTTATTTATTATTATTTTTTAATGGAGATTAGTTAAAGTGTTACTTAAAGCTAGAGACATTATAGACAAGGAATATATAGCAGAGAGGGCGGTGGATTTTGTTTTTGTTTTAGTAAAATTGTGAGCTCTATTCTTACGCTCTCAATGTTCAATGGAAAAGCTATTCCGCAGAAGAAGGGAGACTTTTCTTTCTTTCTTTCTTTCTTTTTTTTATTTTTATTTTTTTGGGCTTTTGCTTTTTTGGAATGCTAAGAGGGAGAGGGATTAATTAGAGTGGTAGTAAAGGTGATCCCACAACTGGGATCTGTCTTTTTTAATAATTTTGGCCATGGAAGGTAAGCCAATTTGTGGAAGAAGCTAGCTACATTTTTTTTCATAGGAACTATACAATCTAATTACAAACCTTGCAAAAAAAAAAAAAAAAATCCAAAGTTAAAGTTAACATTTTATGTAAAAAAATTTAACTGAAAAAATTAAATGTGATTTTTTATAAAAATTTTTAATTATAATAAAATTAAAATTAAAAATTTAAATCGGTAAAATAAATGAATCATTAATAAAATTATTATATGAATGTGATACATATTTAATTATTTAAAAATAATGTTTAAAATTAAAATAAAAGTGTTATATAGAGTAGAATTCTCAAAAAAGAAAAAAAAAATGAAACGAAAAGAAATAGACAGCAAAGCAGAAGTGGGCAGGGCAGGCCAGAGAGTGAGTGAATTATAGACTCTTGTGTTGTTTGTGGTCACTCACTTAACTGGTTATATATCATGTGTAAACAAAGGAGAAAAAGGACGAGGAAATTTAACTGCGTGGACAGAGTGGGTAAGAGCATGAGCGGTAATGGGGGTAATTGGTGATTGTCAAGTTCTGCAAGTGGTTACAGAGTACTTGAGAAAGCTTTGGGATTCGAGTCTACTTTTTGACTTTTCCGTAACATGCCATGATGATTGTTTGACGTGCTGTTCCCGGGATAAAAATGAAAACCGTAACTCTCAAACAATTTTGGTCTTTTAACAGCTCAAATATGTGTCGATTCGTAGCTGAAAAAAGCGCTGAAAACTCAGTAATATTTTAGGGGAATTTTACTACTTCGTATTACTTAAGTCTAATTTATTTTATTAATTTAAATTTAAATTTTAAATTTTATTACAGTAAAATTTTTTTAAAAATAATTATATTTAATTTTTTATTATAATAAAATTTTTTTACATAAAATTACATTTTAAATTAACAAACTAAACGAACTCCTAATATATAACAACTACAGGCATGTACGGAGAATGATTTCATGCTTTGTTGTCGCAATATGAGGAGTGATAAAAGGCATATACTTTTGACTTTAACTTCAATGTCACTATGTTTCAAAAAAAAAAAACACACACACACACTTCAATGTCACCATTTGTTAAGATTACAAAAACGGAACTTTTGTAAAGCAGAGGGCATTTGGTCTAGTGGTATGATTCTCGCTTAGGGTGCGAGAGGTCCCGAGTTCAATTCTCGGAATGCCCCAATTTTCTTATTTTTCATTCCAAACACAATTCTTTCAAATACATCCAATACAACGTGAGTTTTTAAAGTTTAAACCGTGAGATAAATTAAAGATCTACTAGCAATGATTTTACACCAATCATAATGAAAAATGGAATCATAACAACTAATAATGTGTGACTAATGTGCTCAAATTTTCCTATTTTTCATTCCAAAAACAATTCTTTCAAATACATCCAATACAACATGAGTTTTTCAAGTTTAAACCGTGAGATAAAATAAAGATCTACTAGCAATGATTTTACACCAATCATAATGAAAAATGGAATCATAACAACTAACAATGTGTGACTAATGTGCCCAAATTTTGCATAAGATGTCTGACGAATCTGTGCTTTTCTTTATCCACAAAAGATTAACACCCTCGAATTTTGGTTTACGTGCGCAGCTTGGACAGATAAAGGTTTCAAACGAATAAATCACCACCACCACTCCACCCAAACAACTAAATCAGTAAATAGGAGCACACCCAACCCAATACATTATGAAAAAACCTCGGGACACCGGTGCTTTAACACCATAACTAATAAAAAATGCGTCCCAGTTCACGCTATTGCACCCACTTTTTATTAGTATGTGGTGGTGAACACTACTACTAGCGCCCCGTAGCATTATTCATGTATAAAAAAAATCAAGACTATCTGTACTTATAGAGCTTGGACTGCAACTGCATATTATCTCTCCACCATTGATGAATTCCATGGGCTTCTTTTAGATCCCTTGAAGGCGTCAAATTGACAGTCAGATTGGCTGAAGGAATGAGGTGCATTGGGTCTGACTCTTTTCCCACAACTTTCATCAGCATACCCCCAATTGAGTTCTGGGTTGCTAACCTCTCAATGGCTCCAGCTCCTATCTCCTCCATCTTATCCCTGTGTTCAAAATACCCAATATATTCTGAGCATATATAATCACCCGGGTTCACATATAGATAAGGAATCCATGCTGAAAGCCCTGCAAATGGGTCTTCTGTAAGACCCTTCATGTTGCTAGCCTTCATGGCAATGGTGAGTCCTGCTGTTATCACACTGGCCACGATCCGGATCCCGTGTTTGATCTTCTTATCCTTGATTGTCTCAATCGGGGCGGAGAAGAACGGCGGATTGAATAGGAAAGAGTTGAGAAAAGTTCCATTCTTTGCCATGGTTTTCCCAGCAAGCATTGCCATGGCTGATCCCAGGGAATGGCCAGCCAGCCAGACATTTGCATCGCCAACAGCAGCAACCATGTTGCGGACTGCTTGTATAGCAATTTCAAAGCGAGATGTACGGTGGAGTCCATGCTGGAGGAAGTGAAGATCCAATTCAATATCCCGTGAGAAGGAGCCGGGCATTGTTAGGGTGCCTCGGAAGGCAATGACGTATCTCGGACTTCCATCTAACGAGTGGTTACAAAGAGATGCAGGAGGCTTGAATTCATAGATTGCACCAAAGATGGAATAATCAGCATCATCCACAAGATTCCGAAGCAACTTAAAGTGAAAGAACTCCCACCATGGAGGTGCAAGGGCCTCGTGACCAGTTCGTTTCTCTTGGCGATCCCTTTCCAGAACATAGACACCCTGAACCAAACTGGCAGCAATAGACCTCCGATGATGCGGATTCTCCCTGCAAAGAAAATATATCTTGAAAAATAATCAATCACATAATAAACATTTCGAAAACACCTCATCAGAAGCTCCTTGAATCTGCCAAAACTCATGTCTGACATAAACCATACTGAAAACGGACAAACTATAAGATAATTCAACATGTAAACTATCTCACCCCACGGGATTTAAGGAGTAGAAGCCACACTCATGGGTGTACGGCACTAGATAAAAGTTCATATACAAAAGAAAACCAGAGAAAATCATCCCCTAACCATTGTGTAAGTTTACATGTATCCTCAAAAGTCATTCACGTTTTCAACATATCATTCTTTTAGCTGAATAAATACACCAACTCTTGATGGGATTTGCCATGGTTTAATCGGGAAACTTGGGCCCGTTTGTTTTATAGTCAAACTCAAATAATTGATTATGCTATAGTATTTTCCTCTCGCAAAAAATTTGAATTTCAAACGTCAAAATTAAGAATCATGATTTGAGTATACATTCTAAATAAGCCTTTAATTGTGAGCATTGAAAACAAGAACACAAGGTCGTGTTTGGAATTGATCTCGTTTTTATTTTTCACGTTTTTTGAGAAAGAAAAAATGAAATTTTTTTTAAAACGGCGTTTGACGCAATAAAAATAAAAAACAGAAATAAAAACGATTTTTTGATTTAGTATAAAATGAGAGAGAAAAGAAAAATGACTTTTAATCGTTTTTCATTTTTTATTTTCGTTTTCTCCTCTCTCGAATAGAGAGACGAGTTTTTTTATACTAAAAATAATTTCTTGATAAGACTAGCAAACGCATTTTCAAAAATGATTTCTGTCTGAAATTGAAAACGTTTTCATTTTCATTTCCATACAAAAAACAAAATTATTTTGAAACGATTTCCAAACGGGTCGCAAGTTTTTTTCTTTCTTTGGTTTTTTTTTTTTTTTTTTTTTTTTTTTTTTTTTTTTTTTTAACATAAGATTTAAAACCAGCGAAGAATTGAAACCCAGAAAGAATCTACAACTTTTTTTTTCGGAGTGGAGATATCTCACCAGTCAATGGAAGTTATATGCAATGGTCCAGAAAGATCGAAAATTTCCCTCTCAGACGCCGTTATCATTTTCAGCAGATGAAATCTTCTCTCTTTCGTCTACCGATCCTCGAAAGCTTGTTACTGCTCTGCAAAACGACAAATTAAGCTCTAATAAGGAAATCGTATCGCCATAGAAAAATCTATTTAAAAAAAAAAAAACCTTGATATCGGCACAATATGGATCCTAAAATAAAAATTTTAAAAGCATCATTAAATTTCATAAAATGGCTCTTGCGAAATGTACCACCGACAAAAGATCCCAAACACCATAATTCCAGCAAAAAAGAAAAAAGGTTACAGAAAGACATCATCAATAATTAGGTGACAATTTAAGGAACTGGAAAAAAAAATTCGAAAAAGTAAAAAACCTACCTTTGAAGAAATTGCAAGCAGAAAAAAAGGAAAAAGAACCATGAATAACGAATGCCAAAAGCAAAAGAATTTACTTAATTATTAATTAAATTTCATAACAATAGTATAATGATTTGAGTGGTTTTCCCTGTTGTTCTTCTTCGTTTGGACTATAATGTAAGAAACGAAACAAACACAAAACAACAGATCTAACAACTTTTCACAGAAAAGAGAGAGAGAGAGAGAGAGAGAGAGAAACCTGAGGAAGAGTGGTTTGGTAATACGTGAAAGGCAATCGCTGAAATGTCATTGTCCTCTATTGTCGTTACCAGTTAATAAGTTTTATAAGAAGTTTTTATTTTATTTTATTTTATTTTAAGGCGAGGAGCATGATACTTGTCAAGTTTTCTTTCTAAAAGAAAAACATATATTTAGAGAAAAAATTTGGCAAAATAATAAATTTTTATTTTCGTGAAAGTTATAACTTGTTTAAGACATAATAGTATGTCATTATAAAAATTGTCAACTCAAAAGTACAACAACGTATTCAACTATTAAAAAGATTTCCTCATAGCAAACTATTTTTTTTAATTGACCAACCAACCCAAATAATAATAGTTTATTAATGTATTAATTAAAATAATGTGTTGTTTCTCTTTTCTTATTCTAGAAGGTAAATAAATTGCCATTCCTCTCGAGGCCTACCAACTACCAACAAAGACGACAACTTTAATTTGATAATTAATAAAGATGATATAACTTTTCTTTTTGTAAGAAATAAAGTTTATAGGGCCCGTTTGTTTGCGTTTTCGTTTTCGTTTTTCACGGTTTTCAAAGTAAAAAAATGAAAACAGGTGTTAAAAACGTGTTTGGTGCAATTTTTTTTAAAAAACAAAACCAAAAACATTTTTGTCTTTTTGTGGAAATCAGAAAACGAAAAAAAGGTGTTTTCATTTTCTTGTTTTC